TAGTCTTTTATTTATATCGTATAATAAAATATTCACATATTTGATTTTATTACAGTATACATCATATAATATATTAACCAAAAAAATCTTTATTTAGTGATATTATATTTTCTAAATGTAATAAAAAAAATATTGATAAATTAATTATACCTTAATATCTTAGATATTAAAAAAGCAAAAATTCTCTTTATTGTTCATTTAACTTTTATAAAAAAATCAGTTATTTTTCTTGTAAAAAATAATGGATTTTTTTCAAGGAAAAGATAATCACTTTTTAAATCTACTTTATATATTAGAATATTTGATAAACTTAAAATACCTAAATATGATACCTATTGTCCTCCTATTAGTTCAAACACATATATGTATTTCTATTATTCTGAATATATGTAATATCATTTGTAAACTTTTAAATTAATTTGGTTATTTAATATATAATCAAGTAAAACATAATATGTAAATCCTTTAAAATATGAAAACTTGTATTTTAGAAAGTCTTAAAATTTTTTGAAAAAAATTCAAGGTTGAAAAACAATAAAGAATAATACTTTTATATAATCCAAATGTAAAATCATAAAAATTACCTTTGTTTTTTGTTTCTAATTGTATTGTAATTTTGGATTTTATAGTAAATTTAATATAAATTTACTTTATATTAATTATTTTTATCTATAATATCACATTATATCGTAATAAAATTGTGATATTAACGACACTATTGATTTCTATAATTCTTGATAATACAAATATTGTATTATATCTTATATAATATATTTTTAATATTAATAGTTATTGATATAAAATAACAAAGTTGAATGGGTACACACGTGCAAGTGTAAATATCACGTGAATATATACTTATATTTATCGGACAAAATATATATTCTAATATTTTTTTCTTATACATTCACTCAACTGTATTTTATTTCCTTTCAAACGAAATCCGTCAAAATGAATGCACCAGATCGGTTTGATGTGTTTTACTTGCCACCAGGGTCACAAAAGTAAGTCGACCTACTCGTGTGAGGATTTACAAATTACCTTTATAACTCTTTACAAGTTTGGTTTTCACTAAAAGGGTGACGAGGAGTATATTATACAACTATGAAGTTTATAGAGATATATTAGGCATTATTAATTAATTCTGTTAATTTTTGATATTTATCAGAATGAAGATTACACCCGACACAAAAGTTCAAAATGCGGCGACTTTTGAGATACTTCGAGAAGATCATACTATGGGAAATGTAATTCGACAGTAAGTTTAAAACAAGTATTTTTTAAATATTGACGATTTCAATTGATTTAAGTCCAAATTTCCTTTTCATTCATTATGGATAGCAAATTGTTACAAGAGCCACAAGTAATCTTTGCCGGATATAAAGTTCCACATCCATTAGAACATAATGTGATCATAAGAGTTCAAACTACTAATGAAACAAAACCTGAAGCCATGGTAGCGAAAGCTTTAAATGATTTAATTACGGAAGTTGGTTATCTAAGAACAAAATTCATGGTACATCTTTAATTAAAATATATATAAATTTGGATTTTCTAGATTTAAAATTTTTTATGTAATTGATTAACAGGAAGATTTGGGTCGTGCAAGAGCTCTAGTAATACCTCGAGAACAAAAATCAATGATAGAACAAGAACCGCAAATCATGCAAGGTATTCAACAACCTACCCGGGAACCTGCCAATACGTCGGTCGGAAATACTGGTGGTGTTGGTGTGGATATGGATTTCTAAAAAGCACGTTTTCGTAATAAATATAAACAAACAAAAGGTTCGAATTTTTGTTAGATAAAAAGATTCGGTTTGATCTTATGTTTAATATCGGTTTAATTTATCTTTATTTGAACCAATTAGAAGGGATTGTAAATTTTTTTAATTCGGGAACTCTAAAAATAATACCATGAGAAATTTTTAATTTGAGTAATTTATTAGAATATTAAAAATATTAAGCTTGAATCTATCATTAAATTCATTTTAAATTGTTCTTTCTGAACGTATTAGATTTAATAAACATTCAAAAATAACTGAGCATGGGTTTTTAATTTAAAAACATACGCTTCTTTTTGTGCGCTCATTTTAAGTACTTTTGATGTCCTCAATTGTCACGGCCAAGCAACTAAATTTTTTCCGAGAAATTGTCACGTGATTTCTCGAGAAATTATGTGTGATATATATATTGATATTTATATACATTTGACGCGCTCTTTTTTAACATTTTTTGATTTTTCGTTAGTCATTTAATAATGTCTTCACAAGACGAAATAGTAAATTCTCTTACTTTTGAAACGGTGAGATGTTATTTTGACTTTCAAAATTATCGATTATTTTTTTTTCTCGACAACAATTTTCATTTATCCACGTATTTATTAATATATAATAAATATAATAACAATAATTTTAGAAAACATTACACGATATTTTCAGAACTGCTTGGAAGAACCCAAAGACAAAAAGTTGATAAAAGAATAAATTGTTCATTTTATTTATCTTGATACATGAAATAAATTTGTTTGTAATTATTTAGTAAGAAAAGAAGCATTAGCCCTTTCAGTTGAATATTTACGTATCTTTACAGTCCGTAAGTCATCATTATTTTTCTACTTGAAATTTGTTATGTATTGAAAATAAATTGTTTATTTGTTCGTCATAGAGGCTGTTATCCGTGCGACCAATGAAGTCAAGGATGAAGTTGGAGGATCTTTGATAAGATTAGAAGTTACTCATTTAGAAAAGGTGATTGTTTTTGATATTTATTACCTCCAGAATGAGTGAACCAAGTAAGGTTTGACGCGATAATTATTACGGTTTGATTGTAAACAATTCCACGTTCTGGCTTTCTTTTTCATCATTGGCAAGCCACCTTTTTTTTATGCAGATATATGCAGTCAATCATTCGTTATTAACAACACACAAGGATTCATTTTAACCAAATATCATTTTAATTTTGATACTAATGCAATTATCAATATCTATCGGTTTTATTTTTTTTTGTAATAGATTGCTCCCCAGCTTTCAAGAGATTTTTGATATTTGAAGGATATAGCACGTTTATGATAATGGCAAATGGTTAAAAAAAATTATTGGGGTTGATGGTCATTTGGCACTTTGTTCGAATTTTCTTTTTCTAATCTTCAAAAAGAAATTTTTTTTTTTCCCCTAACATGCATGAAATTGGCGAAAGTTCATTGATGCAAATTCCAGTGCATATCAAAATTTTTAAAATGATAATTAAGGCATTGACCGACGGGATATTTTTAAGGAAATAAAGTTATTCAAAATTGATGATGATGCATTTATCTTTTTGGCAGTTTTGGGCATATAATCACACATCATATTAATATCGGATAATTTTACCCCACAAATCCGACCTAACTCTATATGTATGTGATAATTACTTCAATCATGGGTTTTTGTTTGAGCAAAAAATTAAAATTTTAAATGCCTAATAACATATGAAACGTTTTTATTTTCACGATACGCAAATATGGCAATATGACAATGAATATAAATTCCCAAAGAAACAGTCTATGTTTAAAGGGGGTTAGATAATCGAAAAAATTACTAATCTTAATAATTGAATTACTTTAGAAATCAAAAAAAAAAAAAAAAGACAAAAATATCGTATCAAAAAAAAAAAGATCATGATTTGATTCATAAAATTTAAGAACGTTCACCACGAAGACGACGGGCTAATTGAATATCCTTTGGTTGTATGGTAACGCGCTTAGCTGTAAAATAATAAAAGCTTAATCAATCTAATAAATGACATCTAATATAGATGAACAAATATTTATTTGCTTACCATGTATGGCGGCAAGATTTGTATCTTCAAAAAGACTAGATAATAAAAAAAAAATAATAAATATCTTAATCAATACAGAGGGAAAGAAGAATCTTTGAAAAATTTAATTACCTCACTAAGTATGCTTCGGCTGCCTATTATAATTAAAAATAGGAATAAACGATTTGTGAGATTATTTTCATGACGTAAATTTGTAAACATTATGTATAAAAATATCTTACTTCTTGAAGAGCGCCAATAGCACTAGATTGAAAACGTAAATCTGTTTTAAAATCTTGAGCGATCTCACGAACAAGTCGCTGGAAAGGTAACTTGCGGATCAAAAGTTCAGTAGACTTTTGATAACGTCGAATTTCACGCAAAGCTACGGTACCAGGTCTATAACGATGAGGTTTTTTGACCCCACCTGTAGCTGGGGCTGATTTACGGGCAGCTTTGGTGGCAAGTTGTTTTCTGGGGGCTTTTCCTCCGGTGCTTTTACGGGCGGTTTGCTATAAATCAAATTTGTGATGAGCTCCTTTTCTTAAAAGTGATTATGAAACAGAAGGAACAATTTTTTAAAAAAGGTTTATACCTTAGTACGAGCCATATCTTTAGGTTATTTTGTAAAAAAAGTAAAAAAGTAAAAAATGAAAAATGTGCAAAAAAAAAAAGTAATAAACAAGAGTGAAAGTTTTTTTTAATAATACTTTAAAAAAATTTTTTTTTTAAAAAAAAAAAAAAGGAAAAAAAAGGAAATTCGGGGGTATATGTGAAAAATTTTTACGAAAAAAGTAATATATAATGATAAAATAAATATAATAATCACTAATTAGTCATAAAATTTCGAGTTTTTTTTTAGGGATAAATATCAACTAATCCAAATAAGGAAAAAGTGAATGAGTGACACGAATTACTTAGTCACATCATCATCTATCAAAAACTCACTTTCATCTTTATGGGATTTATGGGATTTTAAGGATGCAACCTCACATGTTTAAAGTAAAAAAAAAAAGTATATATAGATAATTCAATAAAATTTATCAATTTTTCAAATTTTCTTCATTTTTTAAGGAATATCTAATTTTTTACATTCTTTAAATTTCTTTAATTACAATATAACGAGTAATTTTTTTTGTTCTTGATTATATACCAGACTTGGTTACTGTATTATTTTAGCAGAAAAAAAAATCAAGTGAAAAATGTGGGCTTGTTTAAATAAAAATTGTCCTTGTCTTCCATTTCGAAATTCACAACCACCATTTGACCATTATTCTTATGACGACGAGGATAACAGAGAATTTGAAAGCTTGCTGGCGGAACAAAATCCTGAATCTATAGCAGCGTTTCTTTCACGTACTCCATTTCAGAGGCCTGGTGCTGGTGGTTCAGAATATGTAAGAATTGATAACATGGTACCACCTAATGAAGAAACCTTAGCCTCGACAAATAATTTATTGGACGATGAAGATAACTTACAAACTCAGGATGCGGTGTTTTTGCCTGATGAGCAAATTAGTAAATTTACAGAATTAGTAGTTAATGAACAGGTAAGAGAAAAAATCATCTTTACTTTTTTTTTCTAAAAAAAAAACATATATTCGAATAAGAACATTTAAATGAGCTCAACAAAAAAAAAAAAATTTGATATTTGTAAAGGAATTTCAATCTGTTTATTATTATAGTTGGTTTTTATTTTTTATTTTATTTTATTTTATTTATTTTTTTTTTTTAAAGGGAATACTTGATAAATATAGTAAATAATATGTATATAATATATATATATATTATATATCGGTTATATATTGTTTTCGACAAGTTTTGTGGTAAAACCAATTATTTATAAACATAAAATTCAATCACGTTTCGGTTTTTTTAAAAAAATAATGTTGGGGGTTTCTGCCGAGTTACGATATTTTTGTTAAAATGGGTTTTCGATAGGTATCTTTTATCTCGGTACTATACATGTTTTCTAACAAGGCTGAATTTATTTTATTTACGTAGACCAAATATGATCAAGCAACCGATGCACAATTAGCTGCGGAAGAAGAGGAGGCTAGGCGTTTAGAGGAAGAAGAAATTGAAAGAAAACGTCGAGCAGCTACGGAAGTAGCGCTTGCTAAAGGGTTGATAAACCAGGATCAAGCAAATCATCTTATCTTCACCGTTGATGACGACGATGATGACGATGGTGATGATGGGCAAATAACCGATTCATCTAGAACCGCATATTCTGTGAATTTAGATGAGTCTTCAGTTGAATTATCTACCACTGAAAGTCAAAGGAATACATCTATTTATGAGGAGGAACATAATTCATCATTGAATAAACCTCGTAATCCACATGAAAGATTTGTAACAAGTGAAGTAAATGAAGATGATTATGAAACGGACTTTGATGACTTGTGAGTATTTTAATTCTAATGTATCTTTGAGATGGTGCAATGATTTTTTGTATACACATAAGTTGTAAAATTAAAGGTTCACTAGACAAAAAAATAAGGAATTTCATGTGATAAAAACGCAATAATAAACAATACTGACTTATAGGCCGCCCACCAATTCCAAAGATCAAGCTACAATCGACGACCCTCTAACTCGTTCAGTCGCCACTACTCAACAAGGAGCATAATAAGGGATAAAGAATCAAAGATGGAAGACTATTCACCTTTTCACGTAAGCATTCTACGATCCGATGATTACGAAATAAGTCATGAAGAATATACTCCGACTGCAGGAGATGAAGAAATTGATCATCCTTTTGTCAATATTTTACCTGATTTTGAGAGATTAGGTTCATTTTTCAAAGGCCTCACAAATTCCACGATAATAAAAGGAAAAAATAAATTGATAAATAAAGATGAGAGCAACAAAGGAAATATTAATCTTAATAATCAAGAAATTAATAATTTAAACGATTTAGAATTAAATCACAACAAAAATAATAAGAAAAAATCGGTTACTTTTACTGCTGAGCCTGATAGTAGCATAGAATCGTCTTCTCCAATTTCATACGGTTTTGCTTTTGGCGGTGGTAGTATTAATGGACGTAGAGGGTTGCGTAAATTAGTTCATGGGTTATCGGGTTCTTCCAGGTCTTCGACCGAAGTCAATGGGTAACAAGAAATAAGGAAAAAAAATATATATCTTCATATAAGAAATATTTTGGGGTTATTCTAAGTTATTTTATTTTTAGTGCCGGACTTATGCTATCATTTCTTTACATATATATAATATTAACAAAAAAATTTATATTACCATTATTTACCCCGGAAAAGCAAGGTTAAACGAAATTTTAAACAATCTTTGCACATTCATTTTACAAATAAGTTCTTTTACCCGCGTTGGCTTCACATCATTTCATATTTTATTATTCTGATTATTATTTACTTAACTTTTTATCTATTTATTAGAAATAGTTATATTTATATTACACTCCTTATTTTTTATTATTATAATTTCAATTTATTCATCTCCTTCTATCATAATTTAAAATTAGGTTTTTCCCCATTCCCTTTAGTTATTTTAATAGTCTATTCCATCTTTTTTTCATTTATTTATATAATTTCAACAAAAAAAAATTATTTATATCGAAAATTTTCGTATTTTCGTACGATTATATATATGAATTTTATTTCTTTTATTTATATTAAAGAAAAAAAATAAAAATAAAAAATCATAAAAGAGATTTTTTAAATCATGAAATAGGAATTGGTTCTTTGAATTGATAATAATAACTGTAAATAAAAAAATAAAAATCTACAGTATCATATTGGGAGAACGTCAGTAAAAAAGGGAGAATCTATATACCGTATTTCTACGAAAATAAGCAATAACTTTATTTGCAAAAAATCGGTCACGTTGCTTATTTAATGTAGTTTGCTTGTTTTCGGAGAAATACAGTAATTTCAGTTTCTAGTTTCTAAGCTAATATCCGTCTCAGTTGATAATAACTTACTAATTTATTTTATAAATAAATTTTATGTAATATATACAAATTTTATACATGAATAAATCATAAAATAAAGATCCTTAATATAGATAATAATAACTTCTAAAATATATGTCTTTTAAAGTTATTTAATTACTAAATTTTTTTGATAATTATAAGTAATTTAATATATTATAAATCAATTAAATTTAAAATCTTTGATTAATAGAACTGATCTATAATAAACAAGTATCACATTATCTTTGAGAGATTAATCTATAAGCATAGCAACTAAAGATAAATATTGTAAGGTAACAATTATATTATATCATGATTATACAAAAATAAAAAAGTTGACAAAAGTTATTTTTAATAATAAAATTTCTAGGCATTATAGTCTAAAAAAAGTTTTTCAAAATAAAAAAAAAGTATCTAAGCAAACCATTTAAAAACATTAAGTATAGAAGGCATTTAATCATATATGTTTTATTTAAAACTATTAATTTTTTCTGTAAATAAAGTCAAAAGAGTTGTTTTTATAAAATAAAATATTAGATAATGATTAACTGAAAAAAGTAGTTAGATAAATCTACATTTTCTCAGTTTTAGACTTCAAGTTAGAATTAAATTTGGTAAAAATCTATAAAAAATTCAATAAAATTATATTATTTCAATCATAAAATATAATTTTAAATAAATATTTTAAAGTTATTTTTTATAGTTTAATCTTAAACCTAATATTTTATTAATTAGTTCTGTTACTAATAGAAATCTAAAATGAATTCTTAAAGCTTATATTATGTTAATCATTAAAAAATAATCACAAAATTAAAAAAAGCTACTTTATTTTTTATTATAATATATTAGAATATTAGCATTAGAGATATTTGATAGATTAATATCTTATAATGTTTAATGTGAAATTGTAGAGAGAGTTTAATTAGAAAACTCTAAAAATATTAATTATTAGTAAAAATTTTACCAAAGTTTTTTTACTAATAACATAATATTTTTAATATACCTAAAATTCTTTTTTGTAAGCTTATTTTTTAAGAAGATAATGTATCAGTGTATATAGCAAAATTGTATAAGATTTTCTTTATTCAAGTAAAATAAAATATTTATTTTAGTTATCTTAAAGTTTTATTAAGAAACTTTAGTCAATTGTTAAATTTGAACTTTAAAAATATAAATCTAAATCATTTAATATTCAAAAGTTAAAAAAAAATAATTATTAAAGAATAAGAATCAATTTTTTAAAAAAATATATTAAAAATCTTATTAATTTCTTCTCAAATTTATACAATTATTTTATATAAATAAAAGGCATATTAATATTATAAATTTATTATAATAGATAAATATAAATAAATTAAAAATAAAAATATTTATTTTATTTTCTATATTTAATAAAATATTTTATTCTTTTTAAACATATTAACAGTTTTTTAATTTTTATTATTATCAAATTATAAGAATTTTTTTTTAAATTTTTTAAATTTATAAAAGATATATTTTTTTTATTATCAATTTTTTTATATTATTATATTTATATATTAATAAAAATTATCTTCTATTTCTATTATAATTTTTATTTTATTATAAAATATAGTAGAATCAAACTTATTCTTTTAATAATATTTATAAATTTAAAAGATTTTCAGTATAATCAATAACCTATTTTATGCAGTATTGGTAAATAATCTTGAAATGACTTTAAATAACCTCAAATAACATCATTTTTATTATAAATTTCAAGTTAAAATGATTTAAAAAAAAGTAAATAACTTTATAATTTATCATCACTGATTTTATGAGTTATTTTTTTTATATTAGATTTTAATTAAAAATAAAGATAATATTTCTTTTTATTAAGTTAAATAATTTATTATTTATTATTAATTTAAAAAAAAATTAAATTTAGACTAATATTATAATATGAAATCTAGAAATTTAGCAGATTATTTAAATAATAAAAAATTAAATTAGCAAAATATTAAAATTTTATTAAAAAATCCAAAAATTTAAAAAAATAAAATTATTTAAAATTTATAAATAGAATTTTAAAAAATTAAAAAATTAAATATTTTTTTAAATTTAAAAATATAATTTAAATAAATAACTTTAATTTAGACTTTATAATTATAAAGTTAATAATTAAAATAATTAAATAGATTTGATAGTTTTAAAAGATTTTAATATCAAATGATAAATTATTAAAGATTTAGTTTTAATTTAACCTATTATATAATGAATTAAATTATAAAATTTTAATTATATTTTATTTTATTAATGATAAATATAATTATACATTTTTTTTTTTAATATATCTAATGTAAGAATTTTGTAAACTTATTAATGAAAATTTAGTTTAAGATTATAAAAGAATTCTTTAATTTTATTTACTAATTATAAAATTTAATTACAAATTTATAACAATTAAAAAATAATTACTCTTTTTTTATCTAATAATTTATACTTAATATTAGTTTATAAAATTTTTTTTAGCAAAAATTTTATTAAAAAATAATTTATTATTAATTTTTTTATTTTAATATAATTTTGTATACTTTTTAAAATTAAAAATTTATTTCTAATATCTAAGTAAAAGTATTTCTAATTATAATAGATTAAGATATCTTTAGTTTTATTTTAAATCTATTTTATTTAATCAATTATTAATCTAATAAATATTAAAGTAAAACTTTATTTAAAAATTTTTATAGATAATCAAATAGTATTTTAATATTATTAGATATTTAGTCATATTATTAAATAAAAAAATTAAATATGATTTTTATTTAAGTCATAAGATATAAATTAAGCTTGTTTACTTTTAAATACCTTAAATAATCTGAAAATCAAATATAATCAGTAACTTTAAAATAATATCTAAATTAAAGATGATGTTATAATATTGTAATACTTATTTATAATCTGTTACAACTAATTGAGGCATTATTTTTAATCTAATATTATAATAATTAAAAATAATATAAAATTCATTAACTAAATATATAAATATATATATTTTTTATATGTTATTAATTATCACTTTATAATATTTAATATTAAATGTTATCTTTAAATTAATCTTTTATAATAATATAATACTTGTTTATTATAAGTGAATTTTTTATTAATTACTAGTTTTAAACTCAATTAATTAGATTAATTATAACTTTTACTTATTATTAGGAAGTTCTAATAACAAAACAACCTTATAAAACTTATATTCTAAAGTTATTATTATTTATATTATAAATAACTACCAAAAATTATTATATTATATAATTTATAATTTATATATTTACATAGTTTACATGTTTCTTATAAAATTCATTTTAAAATTGAATTAATAAAATTATAATAAATTAATATTATAATCTGTATTTAATTATGTTAAATTAAAAGTTATTACAATATAACCTATAATAGAGACTTAATTATTATCAACTAAGTTAGAGACATCAATTCTTAATAGTTTTTTATTATTATCATTATATTATTTAAGATAATTAAAAATTTATAATTATATGAAATAAAATATAAATTTATACAAATTAATTTTATTATATAAAATTAAAAATTAATTGCAAATTATATTTAATTTTTATTGTAATAATGAAATTTTCTTTAAATTTTAAATTAATAAGTCTTAGCGTCTAGTAAAGCTCATAAGTTCAATAGAGTTATTATAATAAAATCTTATTATTAAAACTTTAAAACTTAAAATTATAATATAATTCTATCAAAAATCAAAATCAATATTTTGATTATTAATTTATTTAATTAAAAATAAGTAGTTACAATCTTTTTTAATCAAATTATTGCATATTAAAATACTTTTATATAATTCTAAAATTTTTTTTTTTTATAATGTAATACAAATTATGAAAAAATTTTTTTTATAGTAGGTTGTAAAATAAAATGATGAATTTGATGGCAAAAATCAATTACCTTTATCTTTCGAAATAGGCTCTAGTCTTTTGCTTCGCTCCGGGCTAATAATTTATTATTATAAAATTCTTGAAATATTTATAATTTTTTATTTACATAAACATTATGCCTTATGCTTCAACGTTTTAAGATGTTAAACTTTAAGATCAGGATTAGCTAACAAGCGAATCGGTCTTTTAAAGTTATCAAATAAAGTTACAAGAATTTTTTTTTCATAAAAAAAAAAGTATTAAATAATATATGAAATAAAGTGGAACTCTCTTTAAAAAAAAAATTTTAAATAGTATTATTCATTCAGTAATGTAACGTTGTAATAAAAGTTATTGCTTGTCAGAAGTAAAGAAAGAATAGGGTTTTATTTTATTTAAATTAGGGATAATTATGATAAGGGATAAATAGATCTTGTATATCGCACGGAGTGTGAAATTTGACTAGTGTATTTTAAAAGAAATTTTCATATAAATAAATACATATGAGAGATGGATTGATTAGTAACCATTATTACATTAAATACCCATTCGTTTTTCTTACTCAAGAGATACATAACCAATTATGAATTAAGATGATCGAAAATCGGTTACTATTTTTTTTAGATTTTTTAAATCTAATACAAATTTTGGGCTTTTCGTAGTCATGATCGTTGCAAATTCTATGAATTCGCTGACAAGCAATTATTTCAATTATTTTAAATATTTATATTTAGAATGTTCTAGCAAAATATACTACGACCCAGCAAGTTCTCATACGATTTCCATTTATAAAAAGCCCATTAACCTTTTTTTTTTTTTTTTTGGTTTTCTCAACCGATTTCGAACACTGGCTAATAAATTGTTTAACGTCTTTCATCGTTAATTCACGATCTGGAACCAACTATTTCTCAGATTTTTTGTTTTTCACACGCGAGAAACATTTGTTAACCCGTTGCGCTTTTTTTTGTTATATCTTTTGAGTTGAATATTTATTCTTAATTCACGTAACTTTCTACAATTAAAGCAATAAAAGGCAAAAATTAGTCTCTTATTAAATTACAAGAAAAGACATGGGTAAAGACTATTATAAAATTCTTGGTGTTGATAAAGGCGTAGACGACGAAGCACTTAAAAAGGCCTATCGAAAATTAGGTAGGTTTGATATACATATGGCCATTATTTATTAATTTTTTTCCTTGAAACTTTTTAAAAAATTAAAACAAATGCTCAATATTATTAGCATTAAAATGGCATCCGGACAGACATCAAGGTGATAAAGATAAGGAGAGCGCAGAAATAAAGTTTAAGGAAATTAGTGAGGCTTTCGAAGTACTTAGTGATAAAAATAAACGACAAATCTATGATATGTATGGTGAAGAAGGTTTGAAAGGAGGAGCTCCGCCGCCTGATGCGGGTGCTGGTTTTGCAGGAGGATTTCCAGCCGGTTTCAACTTTCCCGGTGGTGGTGGCACGACATTCACGTTTTCTTCGTCCGATGGACGTAAGTAAATTCTTTGCGTTTTATGAACAAAACATTTTAAAGATGAATCAATTCTCAACTATTCTTTTTATTTTAGGAGGTTTTAATCCATCAGATCCAAATACTATCTTTAGTCAATTCTTTAAAGGCTTTGGTGATACTGATGATGATTTTACGAGTGCATTTCCCGGTGGTTTTCGTGGATTTGGCTCGAAGAGTAAAATGTCAAGTGGTTTTGGTGATTTTGGTGATTTTGGAAGTGATATCTTTAATAGACAACGTGGGTCAGATGGAGTGTCAGAAGTTAAACATAGTCTGCCGCTAAGTCTTGAAGAGATATACAAAGGCACCACCAAGAAACTTAAAGTTAAGCGAAAACTTATTGATAGCGCTTCCGGTAAAGTAGTGCAAACCGATAAGGTCTTGGAAATAACTGTTAGGCCAGGAATGAAAGCTGGATCGAAATTTAGATTTCCAAATTCTGGAGATGAATTGCCGAACGGTGAAACACAAGACGTTGTAGTAACTTTGGAAGAAAAACCACACCCAGTTTATACACGTGATGGAGACAATTTACATATAACTTTACAAATTAGTTTACTTGAAGCACTTGTAGGATTTAAAAAGACCATTCAAACATTGGATGGTAGGAATTTGGTTATCACAAATACTAGTGTAATTTCTCCAGGTCAAGAACAAAGATTTGCTAAAGAGGGAATGCCCACAAAAGATCCAATTAAAAAAGGTGATCTTGTGGTGAAATATAACGTTTTGTTTCCTGCAAAGTTATCAGAGGCTCAAAAAAGCCAACTCCAAAACATTTTATAGATTTCTTTTTTTTTTAAAAAAAAAAAAAAAAAAGAATTTTGGTTTCATATAGTATTGCTCTTCAAATATTCAAAAAAGGGAAGAACATTTAAAGGTAGAAATTGACTACGTCAACCTTTTGTCTCAAAACAAGATAATAATGCATTATTATTATTATTATTTTATTTTTTATTTTTTTTTATTTCAATCTATTTTATTGTAAACTATTAGACACTTTTTGACAGAATATCAAATTTATTTTGCGTTTTGAAAATAATTTTTATTGTCTTGCACATTCACTCTTTAAAGAGTAGATCTCGAAAACTCATTCAAATAGAAATGTTTGTATATAATTAATTAATTGCATTTCAACTCTTTAAATGATTATAATAAAAGAGCTCCCCAACCAGCAAGCATAATCAAACCCCCAATTGGAGTGACTATACCTAAAAATTTAAATGTATTCCGATCTATAACTAACAAATAAATAGATCCACTAAACATAAGAATTCCAGTTAACATCAAACTACCAGCAAATGAAGCATCTCTTCCTGTCGCTGGATGTCTTACACTTGAAAGCACTAGTAATGCTATTGAATGTATCATTTGATAATTTGCCGCTATTTGCCAATTCTATTGAAAAAGATGAGGAATGTTTTACTAAAGGATCGAGATATAAATAACCTCATTTGATCAAACCATGCATTACCTTGATTTTTGCTTGGTCCATTGTACGTTTTTGGAGACCATGTGCACCTAATTTAATAATCGATACTAAATGAAATCACATAATAACAAATTCTCTTTGTATGCTGCCCGAGAAAGGGACCTACCATATGCACCCAAGGCAATTCCCGTAGCGCCTAAAACAGCAGCAGCTCGCCAAAGAAAAAGTGGAGAAGGCATTATTAGATTAAACAAAAAATTAAGAGCCATTTCATAACGATTTGTCTTTGCTGTATTATCATGTAATTTAGGCTAAAGTTCATTACGCACACGTGAAATATTTTTATACTTTTTTTTTTTTGTGTTGTAGATCATCAACCAATATATAATTTTGGAAGTTTTACGGTAAAAAAAAAAAAAAGTTTTCGAGTCCCGGATTTCAAAATCCAAATAATTCCATTCCTCTTTACCTTATTCAACAATCTCTACGGGTACAACTCGAGCAATGAAAAAAATCAGACATATAGCTTCGACTCAAGGTCTTGCAACTTCCTGCATCTTTCTATTGACTTATTAAAATTACCTGCTTTGTAAAACTTTTTTTTTGTTTTTTTTTTTTATTTTTTAGGATTTAAATGCGTCCTTCAGCAAAAATTATTTAACGATGCATTACCTACTATCCGATCATGTATTGTACCCGATCCGAACAATTCATTAATCGATCCTTTATTGATTAGAACTAATTTCGTTTGAAATTTAGACGGGACGACTTCCAAAAAGGTTGCAAAGCATCAACCTACTTTGGAAAAATCATCGAATTCGACAACGGATCCATTGATATCAAAAAATGTACCACCACCACATGCTCCACAACAAAAGAAAACAAAGCACGGAAATAATTTTAAATCACTTGCGATTTATCTATACAATTTATATTATACACATCTTCATTTCAATCGGTTGGTTTTTATAGTTCAACATAATAATCTCAATGTACAAGAACAAATTGTACTTCGAGAAGAATTGAAAAGAAAGGGAGCGATACTTACAGCAGTACGTGGAAGCATATTTGGATCCGTCATACGTCAATCCATATACAGTAATTTATTACCTCTGGTGGTTGGACCAACTTGTTTGATCGGATCAAACGTTGGCGATGATGAAAATCCAAGATTAGTTGCTGATATTCTTAATATCATTAGTAATAATAAGAAATTGGTATTGGTTGGTGGTAAAATGGATAGATCTTTATTGGATTTGGAAGGATTTCAACGGGTTGCAAAATTACCGGGATTGAAACATCTTCAAAGTGAACTCATTGGATTGTTGAATTCGCCCAGTTCAAGGATTGTTGAATTGTTGAATCGAAATGCTCAAGATTTGGTTTTCACCCTTGAAACTCACAAGAACAATTTGGGTGAACCAAATTCGGGGGAGAAGTGAAAAAGAAAAAAAATTGACAAAATTAAAAAGAATCAAAAAAAAAAAAAAAAAAGAAATTTATAAATAATTTTATTAACATTATTACTATTAATTGACTTTATTGTACAAATTTTATAATGTCTATCTATTATTTATTATGCCATAAGAAATTCTTAAGGGTAGTCCAATAATCGGAGTCTAAATACAAATATTGCATAGAAGCTTGCAGGGAAGGTTGTAAAACATCACGATCGTGACGGAATAGCCACATAACAGTACCCCAAACCACAGCTGCAAAAATTGGAAACGTGTTCTTCGGTTCGTCCATCGCTCTACGAGCAACAGGTAACTTGGCTAACCCCACCATAATCCGCGCAAACACATAAAGCACGATCTTAATTAATTTTTTTTATATATTTATAAAAAAAGGTGCGGTTGAAAAAAAAATTTTTGTTAATTTTTGATGAATCCACAATGAAAAAAAAAATATATACCGTAAAAAGACAGGATTACCTGCTGATTGACGTTGTTGTTTTCACCAAAAACATAATAACCACCAATTAAACCGGCCATGAATGAATGACCATTTTGTTCTTTACCAACCATTTTTCTCTGTAGATACATCAAAGTTTTATATATCGTAACAAATTTGGCCAGATTTGCTGAATGCATTTTTGTGGCATCAAAAATGAAATATAACTTGTCCTTAAGACTACAAGTTTGAAAGGAAGAAGTTATTAACGTATTCCCATTTCAAAGAAAGGAATTTTTTTTTTTTTTTTGAAATTACCTTCCAGTACGAAATAAAAATGTCATGACTAAAGCATGAGGGAATCTTATCTTTGCGCCATAGACGGCACCATTACGAAACCCCTTGACAATAGATAAAATGTCATGGTATTCTGGGTTACTAATAAATTGTGTAATAGAGTCCAACATAATTTTTTTTTAAAAAAATGTTAATTTCAGATTAAATATATTATAAAAGTAAAAAGAACGTTGACTCTCTATTACAACTGAACAACAAGGAAGATGAAAATTTTTTCGCAATCCCAAATGGTCAACTTGAAAGATGCTTTTAAACTTTTGGATTGATAATGCAAATCAAATATCAATAATGAAAAAAAAATCATTACCAGTTTAAGGTAATCATAAAGCTGATGGATATGTCGTGCAACCTGATCAAAATTTTCAATACGGTAGATCGTCATCGACGACATTTTTTGTGGTTTTATTTTTTTAAATTTTTATTAAACTGAAAAAAATTTAATGTTCTTTACATCATGAAAATGCTAAATAGCGTGATTGCCTATACATAGAAGATTGAAATACTATAATAGTAAAACTATAATCGACCTTAAAGTGTACTTAGAAAATAATGTTGTCTCCTTAATTATTAATTTTTGATTTTTTTTTCTCGATTCAGTTTTTCATCGCGTAGAATCTGTGAATCATAGCACGAGTACCATAATTCTCGAATTCATTTTCGATTTTTTTCAACAATTTGTCTATTTCAACATCCTTATCACCTTGGATACCAGAAGGAGAAGAGGAAGAAGCATCAGAAGAAGAATCTATCAGACTCGACATCCTTCTAAGATTTTCGGAGTTATGATTTCTCCTAATGTTATTAATTAAACTATTTCTTCTTACATTATTATTATTTAATATTAATTTTAATTCATGACCTATGGAATTTAATATAAATCTATAAGATTCCAACATATAAGTTGTAAATGATTGAATTACTTTATCGTCGGATAACCTTGAACTAATTGTAATTTCCCGGTGTTCATGATAAATGTTTGAAGAAATGTTCGGAGTTGAAGGTAGATGATGAGCGTGTAATGATGTTATTTCCGGATTGACTCCCCGTGATTGCAATTTCCTTCGGACTATGAATCGGAAGCGAGGAGTTAGCGAAATCAAACCAAAAAAAAGGAGGAAAAAAAAAAAAAAAAAAAAAAAAAAAAAAAGGTTCGTTTGATACTTACAAAAGTTATTTGTGCGTTCGGTAATAGGACCTTCATGACGGAGATTTAATTCTGGATCAGAAATTTCAATCCACCCACCAACCTTGCAAACTCTCACTAATTCGGAATACATAACCTGTTCCCATATCGTATCGGTTAGTTCGAATATCATGAAACGGATATGTATGAAATCAAAGGTCGCATCTGGAAAAGGAAGACTACTAAGGAAATCGTGTTGTATGAATTGAACATTAAAAGGTTTCGTTGTAGGAAACAAGGGAAGAGTGTCTATTCCTATGTAGCGAGAAGTTGGATAGTCCGATGACATCTCACATATCCACGTTCCGGAACCACATCCCACGTCTAACACTTTGGCACCGCTCGTTAAGAGCGGTTTTATTGGAGAGGAGAAATTTCCACCCCATACTTCTCTAAGTACACAATGACCCAAATGTATAATTTCATCAACCGTACCCAAATTATTTTTTTCAAAAAATAATTCTCTATAATTATTATTCGTAAAAGTTTTATTATTAGTATTTCGATTGGTTTTACTATTAATTTTTGATGTAACTGTACCCATAATATATATATTTACAAGGAACTTAAAACTTCTAAATGTTTATTTTAGTGTTGCTTTTTTTTTTTCCTTTTTTTTTTTTATGATGGTTTTTTTTTTATGATTGTTGTTATTTATTAATGAACGTAAATCGAAAGAAGAAGGAAGTCTGGTTAAAGTATAAAAAGAAAAAAAAAAGAAAAAAAAAAAAAAAGAAAGTTACTATTGCATCGTCTCTTTTACTATCTGTCAAAGAAGGAAACAAGTAGGGTTTGGCGTACCAAAAAAGAAAAATATTTTTTTTTTTTTTTTTTTTTTTTTTTTTTTCCTGAATCCAGTTATTAAAAAAGGAACTATTTATTTAATTATTTGGGAACATATTTTCACCCAAATTTTAATTGGTGTTTGTGAATAATTATTGTTATTTATGATCCGGAAATTTCGTCGGAAAAAAATTTTTTTTTAACTATTGCGAGAACAATTACAGAGCACCAATTAGATTCAAACAATCTAACCAAAATTAATTATTCAGGAGGAAATTTGATTTTATAAATAATCTTAGCGGATGAAACCATTGTTTTAGTAAAATGATGTACCGAAATGATGATATGATGTCAAGTGATAATCCCAATCGTGGTTCGTGGCGCAGCCTAGAACGTTTTTGGTGCCAAAGGTCCCTTTTGTTTTAAATCATTTCATCTCCCGAGGATAGACATCAAAAACAAACTAACATTGTTTCTCATGAAAAAGAGATATTCGGAAGATCCAAATCATTTGTAAATAAAATAAAATAAAATAAAAATGTAGTAACCAAATGGTCGTTTAATTTGTCCCTTGTTAAGTAAATTCCAAACATCCAATAAAATAACCTCTCATAATGAATTGCTATTTTCGGATCTTTTGTTATATAAACGAAAATCCCCACAAGAAAATTTGACCGTTGATTATGATTTAGTTTTCGGAAAAAAATTAAACCTTATACACCCTTTTAATGTTTATCTTAATAAAAAGTATTCTTCACATATTCGGCACTTTTAAAAAAAAACTCCCTTAATTTGATACAGTTATACTTGTTTTTAAGGTTAATTGTTGTTATGCGTATTAAATTATTGACAAAGAACTCTCACGTGTTTAAAGTTTTGGCAACAAAGGATCATACGATTACAAAAGCAAATTACAGATTATCCTCGGGATCGAAAAATTTTCAGATGAAAACATATCCTAACTAGATCCGCCTTGAAAAATAAAATGGACGTTAGGGCGTAAAGGCAAAAAAAAATAACTACCCATTTACTAAATGCGTAATACCAGCCGGGACCTTATTATTTCTGTTTTAGGAAAAAAAAGAGAAATTTCCATTTTTAATTGCGATTGATGCTTCACCCCACTTTTCTGAAGACTTTTAACCAAATCATTTTTTTACGGACCATATCGATAGATATCGGGTTGGCGTATAATAATAATAATAATAATATCTATAAGATCTACCCTCAAAAATTGTTTTAATTGTGTTTATTTTTATTAGTCCATATTTATTATGTTTATTTTGCTACTAAATATTTGAATTTTTTTTTTTTTACCTCAAAGGTTATTCCGTGCTTTAAATTCAACATTCAATAATATAAAGAATGTTACAAATAATTACACGATGTCTCGTAATGACCAACTACGTAAAATGTACAATTTTCTTGTGTGGAGATTAAATTATTTGTCGAGTCGTTGATGATTGGTTAATCTATTCCGAAATAATTTTTCTACATCTTTCTACACCAATTTTTGATTTCAAGTCCCAAATCCATTCAAACCCTTGGACGCTTAATCTTCAACGTAAGTTTCTTTCGTTTGTTACGTTACTTAAGTAGCAAAATCTGTTAAAAAATTTGTTCGAAACCTATGCGTTTAACTTATCGTTAGTTATACGCCGTAAGGCCGGACATAGAATAAACTTCAAAACTTCTTTATCCAAACTTTTCTTTTGTTTGCAAGCATTAGATTAGTTATGGTATAGATGAGATCTCTTTTTTGTTCAGGTTTCTTAGATTTGAAACATTGACAAAGGCGGAGACCAACAATCATTGAATGTAAAAATTTAATACATCACTAATTTAAATCTTTTTGTTCAATTAATTTTAGACTGGTTCCAATTTGTTACGTATGTATGTAGTCTTGTGGTATTCATTTTTTTTTTTTTTTTTTTTCACTCACGCTTTGGCAAGAACTTTATGAGTTAGTTTTACTCTTTGAAGTGGAATACAAAAAGCAAGATCAAAATATCGTTTTTTTTTGGTGGTAATTCTTACTATCTAAAAACCCGGCTGAGATATCTTAGTACTAATATCTTTGTGAGGATAGACGTTGACATTCATGATTTTCATGACATCCATGAAATTCAATTTTAATGATTTATCATTTCCAATGGCTTATCTTTTCTTACATTTTATTTTATGATATTAGGAAGAAAGTATAAAAACTTCGGTAATCTTGAACAAACCATCTAAAAAAAAATTGGTGATGGATATTATTCAATTCAACCCAAAGGTTTTCTAAGATTATCAACAAAGATCCAAACGCCAAGATTTAAATATATGGAACCTGTGTACCGTCATCCAACTTTTACCTATTTTTAATTTGGTTCCACCATATTTTTACTCACATCTATCCATCGTTCTAGACTTCTAATCGTTAGATCTTTTTACTCTCAATAATGTTTTTATACGCGATTACCATCTCCTATGCTTTAGACAAAAAAATCCATCACTTATCAAACGTCATCGCTATAGTTTTCTTTCAAAATCATGTTCACCTATTATCAAATATCAAAAAGTCTTTGACAAGCGATTAAAGTCATCAGGAGCAAAAATATATCTTTCGGAACCGCGTGTTCATAGGAAAATTTGTTTATTTTCTTTAAAAAGAGAGTATAAGGAGTAGAACAATGTATAGTGGATGCATATTGCCAATCAATATGAGACCACTGGTTTATTAATTTATGGTTTACTCTGCTATCAATTTACTTAATAAAGTTTGCAAACCTAATTATGACTGTAAAAAGTGCAAGTATGGCAAATTATAATGATTATAGCGAGAAGTTGAAATCCTTTTAACAAAATCTTTTGATAACTATACACAGGCGGTTGACAGATTTACCCTGATAGATTGATGTGGTTTCACGTCACTGTATCATTTGTCTGTAAAACTTATTTTACATATTTTCAATTTCTTTTATTAAGAATTTTTGTTTTTATATCATGCAAGTCATGATCATTTTCTAATCATCTTAAATTTCTTATTATTTACATTCATTTTTTTGTTTTCTAAATCATCTAATTTAAATAATTTATTTGATCTTTTATCATATTTTAAAATAATTAAAATAATTATAATTTATGATATTTATCATTTATAAAATTTTTGAAACATTTTATTTACCTTATTAAATTATAAATTTTTAAAAATCTGCTACATATTTACTTTAATCAAAATAAAATTTATATCATTATAATCTTTTTTTTTTTTTTTAAAGTAAAATATAAATCTTGATTTATTCATAGTAAGTAAACTTAGTCTAATAGATCTAATATCAAGGTAATAATTTTCTTTTTATTATAAAGTAATCATGTATTAAATAAACTTGAATGATTTTAGTATTACATTATTAATAATTGATTCGAAAGTGAAAGAAGAATTCCGTACATATTTAGAGGATTTATAAATTTTTTTTATTACTTTTTCCGCATATGTCACGCATATATAATGTGTTGATTTTATGCATTCTGGTGATATCAAATTCATCAATATCGTTTATATATAATATTAATATTATAAATTAGATATTAAATTTACTCAATTTCTGCATATTTTGCAATATAAAAGGATTGAAGAAAATTATCAATTGAGAATTTTAAGATGAACTAGACATCATAAGGGATTATATTTAAATTATATACATTTCAATAATATGAAGATTTTATTTTATTTTTTTTTTAATTAAACTATCATACGATATACATAATTTTCCCATAAATAACCTAACGCGCGACAATTGAAATTTACATATATTTAGAATAAGAATAAAAAAAGGAAATTTTATTTTCTATATCAAAGAATATATACAAAGCAAAAAAAAAAAAAAAAATATTCTACGTTTTTATAATGAGTCAGATCTCTTATCAAGAATTTGAAATACTTCGTATTCCTCAATTTCAAAAGTTTCGTTATTAATAATTTTCTTTTCATAAGAATATTGCCTACTTATACCGACAATATTACTAAGAGAATGGGTAACGCATAAATCTTTCAAACCAAAGCATGGTCCTTTGCTATTACTGCAAAGGATAGCTTCATTTTCAGAAGAAACTCGGCTCAATATAGGAATCGCTCTATTAGTTAATGAAAATATAAAACTATTTGATGTTTTGTATAAAGAGTAACTAGGTGATAATAGATGACTTTTCTCGTCATCTGTATCAATACTATGCCATTCTAATGGATTATATCCGCCAATGCACTCTCCCGAGTCTCGAACTTTAATGACGATAACCGTTGGACCCTTATTATCACAATTGATATGAAAATCATTATCACCAAATCCTTCGCGACCGGCACGATAAATAAGCTTAAATTCATAATTTAAATCTTTAAAGTGTGAAGGTTTCCCTTGATTTTTATCAATCCAGTTTGCTATTACGGCAGCATCCCTGACGTTAAGTATTTTGGAATTAAAAGCATAAGCTGACGTTCTTAACGGTAAGGCATCAAATGAATGATTAGAGGTTGGATTTAAAAAGTAATCGATAATATCATCATCAAATTTATCGGGAATTATATTTTTAAATTTAGACCTAACATTTATGTAATCTTCCGGTAACATTTGAAAGAAACGGATATGAGGGACACAATTACGCAAAGTTTTTCCCAAGTTTATAAAATCCATTGAAGTCCATTCTTTCGAATCTTTTGTTGGTTTCGGGACAGTATTCGCAATTCCCCATTTAATTACATATTCCCAAATTTCCATCTCATCTAGCTTAAGTTCATCACATTTTAAAAGTTGAATTAGAACGTCCTCTTCTATTTGTAAAAAATCTTCTGATTCGAATATAAGTTTTGGATCTTTACACAAAGATTTGAAGGCAAATTCACTTAAATTAGAGAATCGATCGTGTTGACGAATTGTAAGAAGGTCTTTTGGAAATTTCCAGGCTGATGCATTTTTAAGTAAATGAGTTTCAAGTTGTTGAAAAACTTTTGGTAATCCAAAGTCATCCGCTGCGATAAGAAGATCAACTAGACTAGTCTTGTTATCAACAGTGAGTAATCCCGTATAAATATATCTATTTTTTTTTAAAAAAAAAATTTTAATGGATGTCGCGGTGAAAACATTTTAAAAATCTAATCATATTGAAATAAAATCTTACTTTAATAGAATTTCAAAAATAAAGGGTGAAGTACTAGGTTTCGTGAAAGTGATAACTCCGTTCTCGAAAATTGCCGAATGATTTGAGAATGCCTTATAAAAATTATTTGTCCTTGCACATAAAATGATAGAATGTGCTTTGAATTCTTTAACATTTGGTACATTACCAACTTTAACCTTGACATTATAACCATTTGGATTGTCAAGCAAATTTAAAAAGTCCTTGGAAGTATCTGACGAATGGCTATATTTCATCCTTTTTTTTTTATTTTTATTTTTATTTTATTTTAATTTTTTTTTTGTATTTCAAAGAGAAACGAAAAAAAAAGATGACAAAGGGCAAAGAAAATATGAAAAATCGAACACCTTTTTTTTTTCCATTGTTTAAAAAAAACTTGTTTAAACCCGTTATAGACAACGGATCACATCATCACAGAATTTTACAGTATATCCTCGTGATTTCGTTTTATTTAAATACGTGACACAATCTGACTACGCAATGAGTATACGATATAAAGTGGTAAGGTAACATACAAATAGTAAAAACATATTCTCTCTCAAATAAAATAGCGAAAAATAAAAGAAAAGTGATAACGATAATAGTAATACAATTTTAAACATTGTACGCATTAATTCAGAAACCGTATCAATAATTTGAAATACTTCATACTCCTCTATCTCAAAGGTTTCGTCATGAATAATTTTTTTTTCATAAGAATGTAGTTTACTTGTACCAACGATAATGCCATGAGAAATTCCTTCCCGTGAAAGAACATCATTAATGCATAAATCTTTCAAACCAAAGCGTGGACCTCTGCTTGTATCGCAAAGGATAGCTTCGCGTTTAGAAGAAACTCGACTTAATATAGGAATCGATCTATTAGTCAATGAAAAGATAAAACTATTTGATATTTTATGTAAAGAATAATCAAAAGACAATAGGGGACTTCTTTCATTATCCGTGTTCATACTACGCCATTCTAATGGATTATATCCGCCGATGATCTCTCCTGAATTCCGAACCTTAATGACAACAACCGTTGGACCCTTGTTATCACAATTACTATGAAAATCGTTAACGCTAAATCCTTCACGGCTAGCACGATAAATAAGCTTAAACTCATAATTTAAATCCTTAATATGATAAGGGTTTTCTTGTTTACCATCAATCCAACTTGCTATCATGGCTGCATCCTTGGCATGAATAATGTTGGAATCAAAAGAATAGCTTGACGCCCTTAATGGTAAATCTTTGAACGATCGATTGAAGTTTGGATTTAAGAAATGTTGAATGATTTCATAATCTAGACCATTAGGAATTATATTTTTAAATTGATCCTTGATTCTCATGTAATCACCAGGTAACATTTGAAAGAAACGGATATGAGGGATACAATTACGTAAAGTTTTTTCCAAGTTCATAAAGTCCATTGAACTCCATTCTTTCAAATCTTTATTTAATGTCGGATCGGTATTCGCAATTCCCCATTTAATTAAATATTCCCAAATTTCAACCTCTTCTAATTTAAGGTCATCACATTTTAAAAGCTGTATGAGGGTGAACTCTTCCATTCGTAAAAATTCTTTGGATTCAAAAATGATTTGTGGATCTTTACACATAGAATCCAAGGCATATTTAACCAAATCGGGAAATCGATTGTGTTTGCAGATTGCAAGAAAATCTTTTGGAAGGTTCCAAGCCGTTTCATTTTGAAGTAAAAATGGTTCAAGTTGTTGACTAACTCTTGGTAATCCCAAGTCATCCGCTGCGATAATGATATCAACGAGGTTAATATCATCGTTCTTTATGGAAAGTACCCCCGTGTAAATATACCTTGTCATGATAAGAGAAAATTGCGCTTAGTACATGACGCAGTAAAGCATTTAAATTTATCATGAAAATGACGATTAACGTTTGTTTACCTTAAAAGGATTTCAAATACCAAAGGTGAGATATTAGGTTTCTTGAAAGTGATAAGACCTTTACGCTTTGTAGAACGATTTGACAATGCCTTAAGAAAATGGTCTGATCTAGCACGCAGGATAATAGAATGCGCTGCGAATTCTTTAACGTTTGGCATTTTACCAACTTTGAACCTAACATCATAACCATTTTGGTTATCAAGTAACTCTGAGAAATCTTTAGAAATTTTCGTTGAGTTTCTATACTTCATTTTTTTTGAATTGCAAGGGGGACGAAAAAGGGTAACAAACAGAATGAAAATGAACGCGCGTGAAAATACATATCTTTTAAACTCGTTTTGAACCTGTAATAAGTTAGGCATGCAGAAGCTGCGCCGCTCTATTTTTAACGGGAATTTTTATTCGAATATCATTTATTCATTTACTTTACAGATAAAAATGGTTAAATAAATAAACATATGCTATGCTAATAATGATGGGAAAAAAAAAAAAAATAGACGCAAAACACCTGAAAAATAATCCTAATCACTCCGCAGTTTGCAAATTACGCAAATTAAGCATATAACGCGCACAAGCAAGTATGCATAACCAACCAAGGACGACCAGCTTAGTTGACAGATTTACATTTGCAAAAAACCAATAAATAGAAAAAATGATTAATATAATGATTCCGACAATAAGAAAAAAAGCGACGATAAAAAGAAGAAAGATGATCAAACAATAACAGACATCCAAACTCTTTGATAAACAATTTCTAACATTTCTATAATTTAAATTTTCAACATTCTTGTTAGCATTACATCCCTTATTAATGATTTGAAAGACTTCATAATCTTCTAATTGAAAATTTTTTCTATGGGTAATTTCCTTTTCATAGGAACATTGTTTACATGAACCAAAAAGATTGTTATACGAAGATTCCGACGAAGAACCATCGTAAATGCATAGGTCTTTCGAAAAGCACGGTCCTTTCCTTTTACTCCACATGATCGCTCCATCTTTGGAAGAAACTTTGCTTAATATAGGTTTTTCTCGATTTGTTAGTGAAAATATAAAACTACTTGATGTCTCGCATTTATGATTTGAATAAAGCTCATCATTATAAGATAATAGGTAGCTTCTCACATTTTCTGTTTTGATGCTGCGCCATCCTAACGGATTGTATCCACCGATTATTTCCTTCGAATTGCGAACCTTAATGACAACCACCGTTGGACCCTTATCATCACAATTGTTATGAAAATTATTAACGCTAAAACCCTCACTACTTGCACGGTAAATAAGCTTAAACTCGTAAGGTAAATCATTAAAATGATAGGGGTTCTCCTGTTTATCATCGATCCAACTCGATATTAAAGCCGCGTCCTTGGCATTAACGATCTTGGAATCAAATGGATAATCTGATACCCTTGGTTTTAAAACGTTGAATGAAGGATTAGCGTTTAAATTCAGAAAATATCGAACAACCTCAGCGTCCAATCCACTTGGAAGAATACTCTTAAATCGACCTCTGACTTTTGCGTAATCATTTGAGGACATATGGAAGAATCGGATGTGAGTGATACAATCACGGAGGGTATTTTCTAGATCCATGAAATCCATCGGAGTCCATTTCGTCAAATCATCATCTACAGCAGTAGATTTGATATTTGCAATTCCCCATCTAATTAAATGTTCCCAAATTTCAAATTCTTTCAGTTCAAGGTCATCGCATTTTAAGAGTTGAATGAGAATATCTTGATCCATTTGTAAGAAATTTTTTGATTCAAAAATGAGCTTTGGATTCCTACACGCCAAGTCTAATGCATATTTACCTAAATTAGGAAATTGTTTGTGTTGACAAATTGTGATAAAATCTTTTGGTAGTTGCCATGCTGATTCATTTTGAATTAAATGCTTTTCAAGTTGTTGTACAAGGGTCTGTAATTCAAATTCGTCCGCTGCAACGATAACGTCAGCAAAACTAGCTTCATCATCCACAGAAAGTGTTCCTGTATAAATATACCTAATTATGACAAATATTTTTATAAAAACATGCCAACAGTAAATTATTTTATTTTTATGATTTTTATTTCTATTATGATTATTATTATGATTATCATTATGATTATCATTATCATCATTATCATTATATTGACAAACATCATAGCTTACTTTAAAAGGATTTCGAATATCAAAGGGGAAATGTTTGGCTTTTTGAAAACGAGAACCTCCTTTTCTTCATTCCAATATTTTGAAATTGTTCTCTGAAAATAAGTTGACCTAGCAGATAATATAATAGAATGTGCTTCAAATTCCTTAATGTTTGGTTCTTTTCCAATCTCAAACTTCACATTATAATCCTCGGAATTTTCAAGTAAATTTAAAAAATCCTGATGTAAATCCGATGTATGATCATACTCCATGATTTTAAAAATCTATATTCTCTTTAATTCGAAGCGAATTGAGGAAAAAGAAAAAAAAAAGAAAAAAAGAATCCAAAATGTGTCGTTTAAACCTGTTTAAGAGTGAAGTTTTCGTTGTTTATTTAATAATTTAAACCTAGCCGCGCATTTTTCACTAAAAACGTTTTGGATTGCGCGTGATCTATTTGATTTATTCATTGTTGAGGAGGATCATATCATTTCCGAATGATCAATTACAATGATAGTGCATATTGTGATATTGTGTAATCCCATTACGCCAAAAAAAAAAAAAATTTTTTAAATATTCAAATGTCAATGCATTAAACATCATAGATTTTATCTTTTTTTTTAAAAAAAACCCAAGCTTACTATCATAACATCTTTTCTATTTAATAGGATAGGATCTGATTGATATTCAAAAGAACCAGCTCGTATTCTTTAAATCCTTCAACGTAAATAATTTTTTTTTATTTTCTTACTAAATATCAATATATATAAATTTCTGAATGTTTTTATTTAAATCCATAAATACTTTTATCGTTTGAAAAATTGGAGGTCGGGCGGTCAAATAAGTCGGTAAGTCTGTCGGGATGTTTATCACATGATATCCTTTCTCCGAAACCATATTACGGATCTATGACTATATCGGTATTATAGCAAAATTTCATCACCATAATTTTTTATTATAATAAAAAATCATTTTCTTTTCAGGAAACAGCTATTTATCCTTAACTTCAAAGATTGGGATTTTTCCATTATTATAATGAAAGGGCAAAGGTTTTTAAATTTTCCAAGAATTTTATTAATCTTATGCAAAATAATGTCATATATTCCATATTCGAATGCAACCTAATGCAAATATTTTGATTTTTTGAACCATTGAAACGGATTCCGGTAAATCTTCGGATAAGGTTTTAAAACCGAATTTTTTTTGTTCAATAATGAATGAATGAATATCACCAAATAAAGTAAGGACTTCCCAAAACCGTCTTATCATATAAATTGGTGCAAATATTTTATCAAAAATAACCAAATCTCACTTCTTTCTGATTTGTCTTATAAAAGAGGGAATTTTATACATTTTTTCATCCTGATCTCCGGTCGTTAGAAAAAGGAATTAAAGATAAACTACAAATGGACCCAAGAGCTGTGATAACACCAACGTTAACACCACCGCCACCAAATCCACCCTCATTGTTTCTACACTCGCTACTTCCATTATTTTTGGTCCTAACTGCATTCGGACCAGGTTACCAAACCATTTCTACTTTTACCCTTCTCTACTTTCCCCTCTCTGTATATTACACAAGAACTTATACAAGATGGTGGTGGATAATTTTCTACTACCTGATGAACAGTATAGGGACTATGTTGGCATATATGAACACATTTAATTTATCGGGAGTAGGGAATTATCTAGGAATATCATGTGTTATTGGGCTAATTTTAAATTTGATAATGCTTATACCTAATATGTTTGATAGAATTGCTCAACGTAAATTTTCTAGCGATGGGTGGGCTAGAATTATGGTATTTCCCTGCGTTTGGACAGGAATATGGACAATTTTATTGTATACTTGGGCATTAGGTGATTGGGGGAATTACGTGTAAGTGATTTTATTTTTCTTTCATTTGTTTATTGATGTATTCATAATTTCCACAAACCTCGTAGATTTGCCCTCTTAAACTACGGGGAGATAATGCAATTTGCGTCATTCGCGGGATTAGGGGGAATCAATTTCCTATTAGCGTGGAGTGGAACAGTGGGAAGTGATATCATTTCATTTCATTTATCGAAGCCTCAAAATTTCGACGAGGCGCAAACATCAAGTACCGGATCCATCATCATTTATAATGAAGATAATAGCACGGATACAATTTTACGTATCCCACCAAATCAACCGAAAAGGGAATTAACATTACCGACATTTATTAATTCATTGAGTCTCTACTTGTTTGTATTGTTTTTGGTAATCAGTTATGGTAGCGTTAGGTTAAATACGGATTTTGTCCCTTTTTATCAAAAAAGCGTTAATGATACTTTTAAAGAAGCATTGATTGGTTTCGGTTGTATCACGAAACAGATAAATAATGATGAATTAAATTTTTACATCAATATGACCCGGGATTTAGCGAGTACGGGGAACAAAATTATTCTTTGGTCGGAGGGAATCCCCGGCATTACTACCGTAGACGAATTACATTACTTATATGATTCAATCAAAAATATTTCAATGACATATGACGCTTACATAGGTTTTACTTATATTGAAGGTATTGACACGGGAAAATACTTAAATAAACAAGTGGTAATTAACAATAAGGGAGAGGTTGTTATAGACTATAAGAAAAGTAATCTGGTACCTTTCGTAGAGACTTTGTTCGCTAAAGGTGATGATAAGTTGCAAACTTTTCAGAGTGAGGAATTGGGAACTGTTGGCGCTGCTATTTGTTTTGATTTTGACTTCCCCAAATTAATCGGTCAGGCTTCTTCTAAAAATGTTAATTTAATGTTGGATTCTAGTGAAACTTGGGTGAGTCATTAACAGAAATTTTCTTTTTTCTTTTTCGTATAATTGAAAAAAAAGTTTTTTTTTTTTTTTACCGATTTTTTATGATCTGCACTTTTTATAGGGTAAGATGATTATATTATTATTATTGTTGTTATAATTTTTATGATTGAATTATTAATGGTGTCAAACCTCATACTCAGGTCCGGTTGGTCCGTTACATGCTCGTATGAACGCAATACGGTCAATAGAAAATGGTTTTACAACATTTCGTTGCAATTCACTTGGGTTTTCAGGAATATGGAATCAATACGGACAACCATTACATTATATACCAACGGTAAATACGCCCATGGTCACATTTCAAGTTCCTATTACAATGATAAAGAATAGAGTTAAAACGGTTTATTCGATATTTGGTGAATCTTTTGGTTGGATTTGTGTTGGAAGTATTGGGGTTTATTTAATTGCTATTATTCTGGCTCATAAAGGTAGTGATCGATGGAAACTTTGGGTCATTTATTGGTTGTGAAAATCAGATTTATGTATATATCTCATTATTAAAAAGAACGCGATTCAGTGTAACATATCGTGTTTGACACGGAATTAAAACTCCGATTATAAATAAACTTTGCATTTGTTTTTTTTTTTTTTTTTTTTTTTTTTTTTTTTTCTCGTTTCTTTTTGTGTTTGAAGTAATCAATAAACTTTAAATTACGAAATAAGATAACGATAAATTAAAAACATGAATGATAAAAATCTAATAGACTCATCCTTTGATGTTATAATCAAAGTAGGTAATAAACGACGCTTGTTCGCGAATGACAATACAGATACCAATCCTTTTAGGGACGTAAAATTCTTGAATAAAATTCACGACTTTAATCAATATTATAAAGAATTTTATGCACATAGTTCCATCCTTTTGAAAAATACGAAATCGAAATATTTTTATAACGCTATTATTCCCGAAAGGAAACATGACACATTAAATAATACATTCACCGCGAATAGCAATGTTGATTTCACCAAGAAAAAATTACCTGATAATGAGAAATTATCAACAATTCATCCTTGTGATGAGAAAAAACGTAAAGATAACGTTAAAGTTATTATTTTAGAATTACCTAATATTGAACCATCGATTTTTGAAGTGATTCTCGAGTGAGTATCAACGAATTTATCTTTTTTTATACACTCCTTTAAGTTTTTATAATCTTAAAAATATATATATACACACATATATTTTTCTCTCTTTATTCTTTATTTTTTGTGTTTTTTTTTTTTGTCCCGAATAGGTACATTTATAGGGGAAATTTGGATGTAGTTGATTTTACTAAGCAAAAAATGATTTCAATTCTTTTCGCAAGTTCTTTTCTAAACTTAAAGCCTTTAATTACTCATCTCTTCACATATAATTTCTCCGGAACCCTTCATTCGCTAAACGCTTCTTACTTCTCTTCTAATCTTAACAATAACGAATTAGATCAAAGAAAATGTATAGTCGATCAATTATGTTTAGAATATACTTCTAACCTATTCATTTCAGATGTTTATTTATCATTTCACAAGGGATTTATTTATGATATATTGTCATCTAATAATTTAATCATGAATGAATTAGAAGTTTGGACAAAACTGATCAAGTGGGGAATCCATAATTCTAATTTATCACCAAAAAATTCTTCACTCGCTTCTAACGTTTTGCCAAACGAGATGATTAAAGGTTTTTCTAATAAACAACTTGCGGCACTTGAAGGGATGATTAAAGATTTCATTTCATTAATTAGATTTCATCATATCGGATTAGATGATTACTTTAAAGAGATTGGTAACCCTTTCAAAAATATTTTGCCAAAGGGATTAAATAAAGCAATTTTTAAATATCATATGAAGAAAGAGATCTTTAAAAATATGATTATATTATCAGCAAGATATTATCAACAAATCGATTCCACTATTATCGTAGGAGAACAAACTGCTTTATTAGCTAAATGGATTAAAGAGTGTAAGAGTTCTAACGTAGATCATAATTTTCTCACCTTAGAAGAGTTGGTAAAGGAAGAAAAACAATTTAAATTCAAGTTGTTGTTAAGAGGAAGTAAATATGGTTTTGGTATTGGTACTTTTCATCAAATTTGCGATGGAATCGATAATACTATTTGTATAATTAAAGTTAAAAATTCTGGTGAAATAATTGGAGGTTATAATCCATTTTCCTGGCAGAGCTATTATAGATTTGGATTTCAAACCTACCCTTATAGAGGTTATAATGTCCCTTGTTCATCAAGTTTTCTTTTCTCCTTAAATAATAATAACATTCGAAACGATAATCATTCTACTAAAAATATATTAAGCAAAGTTAAGAAAAATCATATTTCTGAGGCGATCTACTATTCTCAAATTAACGGACCAAAATTTGGTAGGCATGATTTATACTTAATGAACAAGTCAATGTCCAATATTGAAGATTGGAATTATAATCGATCAATTCATGATAATAAAGAGAAATTGGTTGGTTATTGTAAACAATATTCTTATACTCAACAAATTATCGACAAACCTTTCTTTGAAATTGAAGATTATGAAATATTTCAAGTAATAATTGATGTATAATCAGACGTACTATTCATCAAAGACGCGCAGTTTGAGCTAAATCGATTAAGTATTTCAGTCCGCCTAATCGTCAGTTGGGTAACAATATTTGATTTCTACTTATTTTATTTGAAAAATAAAATGACATTATATTATATATTATTAAGAAATACAGTCGCGATCATAATTAATGCAACAAAAAAAAATAAATTTCATTAAATCGAAATATTTCTTGTAATTACGGAAATGAATAAAATTTTTTTATTATTATTTACATTATATTTTCTAATACTAAAATTTAAATATGCTTAATAATTTTCTATGCACGTATAGTAAATGATTAAATATGAATTCTACATGGGTGTGTAATATACATCCCATGCGTAGTTTTTTTTGATGCGCAATCCATATGATCTATTAGACTTTTAAATAAATCAATTATTTAATCAATTGTACAGTGCCCACGCTTCTTTTCTTTCTCTCGCTTCTTTTTATTCTCTCTTTCCCTATTTTGTTTTTTTATAAATCTTATTGTTGAATATCCTTAAAATGAGCGTTTCAGAATCACTTTCAAGTGATAATTCAGATAATGAAAATTTTCCTAACGATTTTATCGAAAATATTCTTGATAGTGAAAGTAGGCGTCCAAAAGGAAGACCACCAGATAATGCAAGATTCTAAGGACCTTTAAAAACTTTTAATATGTTAACAAAACTCGCAAATGTGGATTATGCAATGAAAGTGGACTACATGTCAATCGAAAAGAAGAAAGAATGATGATTAGTATTTAGAATGTTTAATTAATATGGCTCACATTACTACTGTAATGTGAGCCCGGCTACCTTCGGTCGCCGGGAAAGCAAAAACTATTTTCATTGCTATTTGCTATTCGCTTATTAGACAAATTTGGTAATGAAAGTTTATTTGCGAAACAATTTATTTAATTTTACTTAATATAATTTTAATATAGGGGTGCGTACAAAAAATCAAAATGCATTGCTTAAATTTTAATAAAATTTTTAAAAATTTTATACCCATGCGTAAAAAATATTGTATTTTAAAATTTTACACGTATTTTACGCACCCTTGCATTTTGCGCAGATGCGTAAAAAATAAAAACCCTTATATAATTATTCGGGTAATAATGTTGCATTATTTATTTTCGTTTTTTAACACAACTCGAATAACATTTAAAACATCCGAAATTAATACAGTCAACCCTCTCTAAATGCATCCCTTCGGGACCATAGTGAAAATTTTAAAAAATGTGCATTTAAAGAGGGTGTGCATTTAAAAGAAAATTTCTATATGAATTCTATATGCTTGGGACTGAACGAGAGCGTGCATTTAGAGAGAAAATATATAGTGTGTGCAATTAGAAAGGGTGCATTTAGAGAGGGTTGACTGTATAAAGAAAATTATATGTATATATCTTCGACTCTCCCAAAAAAGATTGTAGAAGCAGTATTCATGAACCCATTTAAGCAAGGATATGTTACACCAGAACAACTTTTAAAATTACGCATCATGACATAACCTAAACGTATGATCATAATAAGAACAAACATGACAAGTTACCTTGTATATACCAAAAGAAGCAATCCAGTTGTTTTTCTTTGACAAGCTACGCCTTTTGCGATATAAATTATATCTTGAATTTGTACTGTTTTGATAAATTATTAATCACTGTTGAAGAATTGATATGATACAGGGACGATGATTTCTTTTAATTTACAATATTATGCAAATATCACATAATTTTGTGATATTAACAAAATCTATATAGTTACAC